TTACCTTGACTAATAGAAAGCATGGAATGTTTGAAGGTATTTATGTATGGTATGTCTCGTCGGGAGCCCTTCATGAAATTACTTACAATTATTTACACTGTGGCGAATGTTCTACATTTGAAGTTTGAAATGAACAAAATTCCAATTGAAGGTCGGTTCTAAAGTGTAAACCAGTGAGAGGTGGCACATAAATACTAATTTTGAAAATATTACATTATATACTTATTTTGTGTTATGTGTTACCAACTCATCACATTAACTTTGATAATTAAATGAAAAAAAACACGCAAGATTTATACGAAATCAATGCCATAACTTAAAAGTTTGACGTCTGCACTCAAAACAATACTAAGATTATAAACATACCGCCCTATATACATATATAGGATAATAAATAGACCTGAATTATAAGCCCGCCTCCTACCCAACTATACCGTACCCAAAATACCGTAAAAAAGATTGCTACCGGTTTTGGAAGGAGTTAATATTATATAAGTAGTTGAACATAAGTTTGAATGTAACCGAGTCAAATGAACATATGAACAATTACTTACAGGTATAAAGAAGAAGAAAAACTGTTGTACCGAACTATAATACCCTTCATAAAAGCAAAGCTTACAAGAACTTGACTTCAAACGTTCAGTTTGTATGACAGCTATATGTTATAGTGGTCCGATATTGGCTGTTCCGACAAATGAAAAAGTGGTGAAAAAAAGACGTGAGCAAAATTTTAGATCGATATCTCAAAAACTGAGGACTAGTTCATATATGTAGAGTCAGACGCACATGGCTAAATCGACTTAGCTCGTCATGCTGATAATTTGTATAAATACTCTATAGAGTCCCTGTCGTTTGAAAAGTATTTGATTTAGTTTGGCCTAAGGTTATTTTCGGCAAGATCAAGAATGGCTAGTACTGTTGTTGAAGACATATTTAGATAATTGGTTATAGAAATGGAATGGAAGGTTGTAGGTAAAAGTGGGTCGTAAGCATGCGATACAAGTGTAAGACTATTTTGAGCGTCTTTAACTAAGGCAATGTTAAGATAGATAACACAACTGTTAGTCGGGCATTTCTTCTTACAATTAACAAAATCTAATATATACTAGGGTGGAGTGAAAAAAAAATTTTTTTTTGCTTAGTCTGAGGGTAAAATTTGTAGATTATAAAAAAGATTTCTGAAAAAAAAAAAATTTTTTTTAACATATTTAACATATTTTTGATAAGTGTTCTAGAAGCTGTGGAGAGTCCTCTTTTAGCCAATTAAAAGTTATCAACTTAAAAAAATTTTTTATCTTTAATGGCAACATGCTTTCCTTAAGCGTTAAAATAAATTTTGAGTCAAAAACCGTCAAATTCGGTAAAATTTACATAAATGTGAAGAGTTTAACCAAAAAAAAATTTTACTTTAAAAGTGAATAGGCCGCCTCTGGATGGTAAACAATTTTTTTTGTTCCCAAAAGTTTCCTTTTTATATAGTCTACAAATTTTACCCTCAGGCTAAGCAGAAAAAAACAATATTTTTTTCACTCCATTTTCATTTCGTATCCCTTTTAAACCAATTATGAGCATCTGCATTCCTGTGATGGAATTCTTACCGTATCTCGGAAATATAATATATGCAGCTAGAACAACTTAATAAAAACAAGTAAGGAATGCTGTAGCCGAATATTTTATACTGTTGTAGGGATCAAAAAGGGTTGTATGAGGAAAAGTCAACCAGAGAATTGAAAATCTTTTTACTAAATATATAAGGTTTTGTTAAGAAAAGATGTTCAAATAATTTCATTAAAATATCACACATATTGACCGATATAGGCATACGGCCACGAAGTAATACTTAATCGGTGGTTCCATGGGAGAGTCTTGAAGTGGCAGTTAGTTAAGTTTAGCGGATTAAAGTTTCGTATTCCGGTATTTTCGATGCTTTCCGTTACAATACAAAAAGACATACGGTATAAAGTAGAACGGAAGTTTGAAAATCCTTTTAAGGACGCATTATTATCAGTCCAGTTGACAGTCTCTGGTCGGATATACATCTGAGTAAGCGCCGGGTTTTTTCACTCGTCTGTCATGGGGAGCATAATATTATCTTAATTTGCGCCCGAACCAAGTTCTTCTTTACTTTGGTTTTCTTAAAGTCGAATCGAGGTCACTAGGTAATTACTTATAGGTATGTATTCATTACAAACATTTGTGTATATATGTAAGAACTTGTGAAATAAATTTTAAATATGTAAATTTAGAGCTAATCCGATTCTGCATACTCACTAGACTATATACGAGTATGTATGTGTGGGTTTGTGGAGGAATGCCGATATATGGGTTTGACTTCTCAGCTGTTAACATGACAGCTTAAGTCTATTATGGATGTTTTATCTACAATACGTACATACACACGTAAGTAATAATATATTACGTACGAAGTTATCTGTAGGTGCATGGGTGTGTGTGTGTGTGTTGTAATAGTAGTAATTGTTTGGATTGCTTTATAAGACATGAATAGCTTTTGTTACACTCATTTTAACGATACAAAAGGGGTGTTATGTAATTCTTTTTTCTTTCAAATACAAAATAAATATTTTGAAGAATGTACTTTACATAGTAGTAGTAACAGCATTTCATTGCGATGAAGTATTAAGAAAAGTAAAAGTTTACAATCATCGCTGATTGAAGCGGCGGCATGTATGCCGTGCATATTTCATACATACATACATGTTTATATGTATGTATGTGTATGAATGTATGTATCTGCCTGTCTATGAGGTTATAATTTATTTATGTACTGTCTGTTATTATTAAAAATTAATGAGTTTTGTGGGTGTTGTCCGAAGTGAGTTGCCGTAATTTCAGAGCTTTTGTTTGATTTTGCTACGGATGAGCGGTGTATGTATGCGCATGCGCACCTGTACCGATTATGCGCTGTATTCATTTGTTATTATAGAATGTATGCAATTATAAGCTCGTATCAAATTGATATAATAGGCGTGTAATCCGATCGCTAAGCGATTGTAGGGCGTTTGTTAAGTCTGTAATGGATATTAACTGTTGTTTCTATTGCTGTTTTTTATTTTATAGCAATATTTATCAATATTAATGTATGCATGCTCAACGAAGTGATTGCTAATTGTTGGACCCCCCGTTTTGATTCAATGATGCTGTTTAATAGCGATCACAATGAATTGGAAATAAACCCACATTTAATAGATGCATAAAATATGTCAAATAAGTAATTATTAATGCATGCTGCAAACGAGATTTACAATCTATACACATTTATGAATTGTTTGTTTAATAATTTGTATAACTTTTGGTTTTGCCTTTAGCAGCGTTTATCAGTGAAGTTAGGTTCTTTGACTAACTCCCAACAAGAGGGGCTTTCCATGTGTGGGCTGCACTAGAATAATTTAAAGATACATGTGTACGGATCACTGATCACTGACGCCGGTTAATTGAGTTGTGGACACAGCCTTTTTACAGATATATTAAAAAAAAAATTTCAGTGCATCTTAGGATTATTTTGAAGCAGAGGTAGGTAACGTGAATGTCTGATGACGCACCTAGTCCTTTAGGATCCCCATTGTGAAACCACCGGAACTTAAATCCCCTTACACTATGATGTCCTCTATGAACCATCCTGTGGCCTCTTTTGTCATGAAAGCCGCGACCGATATGTGCGATTATTTTCCCATACAAAGCCTTGCATCCGCATATAATATGTTCTAAAGTCTTTTCTTCTTCTATTTCTTCTATCTCTTAGCAGCTTCTACAGTAATCGTTGTATGGAATCCACAGTCTCCTGGTCATGTCTCCTACTAGAGTTCTTATGTTATTCCTTTTGAATCTCAATAGTTTGTCTGCTTCTTGTTGTTTTCTCTTTATCAGAGTCTAATTGTAAGATGGTTTCAGAACTGGCTAGTTCCTCTGCAGTTACCTGGAATATCACTTTGTCCGGGAACCCATTGCAGGATTATCGTAAAATAGGATATTAACATAATTGAACTAAACCTGGTAAGAGATGAACCTCGTTAATTCCGGTGGAAGTGAGAAAAAGCATAAATTTTGTCAGTAGACATTCCGAGAAAAATTGTCTTCAGCCTTGTAACACTTTTTCAAAGTTTGCAGAAAATCACTAACTTCAAGTTTCAATGAAACTTATTTCTTTACATTTAAAAAACAAAATTTTAAAATTTCGTTTATTGAAGGAGTTCATCCGATTTCCCTAAAAGGATGTTTTCTTCAACGGATGATGTAAAAGGTTTTCAACTGTTGTTTTATGTGGTTTTTTTTTTACTCTAGCTTGTTTTCCAAACTGATTAATGACTATCTGTTTCTCTGAAAGATGGAACAGATTTTGTATTTTAGAAATATATTAAAAATTATTGTACGCATTTTTCTAAATATTGCACCAACGGTAGGGGTTTGATATATCTGATAAATGAGGTTTAAAAAAACGTTAGAAAACTTCTAAAAGGCTGATTGATTTTAGGTAAATTTTTTTTTTTATATCAGAAATGCAATTGTTAGGCTGAAGTCTTCACACTTTTTTGGTCGAAGAAAATTCCAGTGCATTTATTTATTATGATATCTTTTCTGTTTGGAATACTGGCGAATGTCGTTTGTGTATTTGTGTATTTAAGATTAAGTCTCGAATTGTGCCATTTTGCCAGCGAAGCTTGGAATAGTCTTTTTGTCACCGAAATTTTTCTTTAAATTTCCGAATGCTGTTAAGTTTCCGAATGCGGCTAATATTCATTCATTATTCAGAATTTCGTGGAAAAGATTTAAAGCCACATGACTCTCCAAACTCTCCTCATATTTGTATACTCACATATCATTAACATATAGGGGCATAACAAAAATGTGAACTAAATTTATTAATGCATTTGTTGTGCAAATGAGAGCATGGCCAACTGAATGTGGTCAGAAATGTATTCCGCATCACTAACCTGTTTTAATTAATTTTTTCGTTTTGTTTTACCTTTCTCCCACTCCTTTAGCCAGTAAACAACAGTAAGCAGTAAACAGCAAGCAGCCTTCAAGCGGTTCAGCGGCAATTGCAAACATTTACAGTTTTCCGCCGTTACATTGCCAGCTGCCAGCAACATTTCACACGCAACTTGCACTCGCTCTACTCTTGTTCCTTCACGCTCCTATCCTTAAGCCAGCAGCGCGCTGCAGAATGCATTCGCTTGCTAAAAGAAACTGTATTTCAACGAAACTTTGTACCGTTGTGTCAGCGGTATTACCATTATGAATCACCGCGTGACGTGCACGTGAATCATAAAGGGCGAAAAGCATTTAGGTGGTATCTTATTCCCCTTTTGTTGTTGTCTTATTTGAATACCAAATTTACGTGGATCTTAAGTGCAGAAGCAGCAGCAGCAACCACAGCAGCTGCTAAGATTGGAGAGGTCGGAGGATCAAAAGTGATCTTTGGTACGACGCTCAAAATTTGCGTGGGCAATAGCGGAAAATATTGTCGGGGAGACGTGCAAAATTAAGTCAAGTGCATAAGCAGCAAGGCGCTGGTGAATTCTTATCGTGAGAACGTTATGGCATCACATTTCAGTTGGTTCGTCAAATTACTCTTCCTGCTATTGGTGAGTCAATATGTATAAAATTAAATATTTATAACATTCTTTTATTTATAAAATAGTGTATACGCTGACGTTAAATTCATCGAACTTTGCGTAAGACAGTATAATATCTGGATGTATATAGAAATCAAAATTTTTATTAAATATACATATAAGAAAAGAGAGATATCCTCAAATTCTACGATATATAGAGCTTCTACAATATACAGTGACAACCTACGAAAACCTCTTTCTTCTTGCCCACGATAGAAATGAAAACTTTTGTGGAAAAACTACGATGTCCGAACTTTATAAAAGCATAAGCAACACAAAACAATTGAAAGCGTTTCTAAAAAGACTTAGGTGATGCGTAGTATTGTTTTTATTTTGATTAAATTTCCTAAATCACAAAATTATATTGAATGATTTTTCTTCAAAAAATAGAACTGTTTGTGTTCAAAGACAAAACTACTATATGATACATCAGATGTTTTAAATATTTAATTTAGTACTGCTCCAGAATAGCAATTGCTTCGAAAGACAGTCCAGATTGAACCAAAATTAGTTTTGCTTTAAAACTATGACAAAATCAAAACAATTTTTACTTGTTATGAACGTGCCGTATATATAATTTATATTATTTCAGTATAAAATATGATGAAGGAAAAAAATCGATTAATTTTTCCTTACTACCAAAATAAGTTGTCAATGGTAGGAGTCTTAACAATCAGCACAGCGCTTTAAATCTGCCACAAATTTGTTCAATAGCATTTCGTTTGACATTATCTGTAATACAAATTAAGTTGAATAATCGATCTAAAATTATGTGAAAACTTCTTTAAATCGCAATTAATTAAACAATTAAATTCAGATCCATTATCTGCAAGCACCCAGAAGCTAGCCTCCCAACCTAAATAAAGCAATTTGTACAAAAATAGCATCAATATAAATTGCCACCAATAGAAAATTGATGGTTTTCGAAGAATTTCGCTAATATGCTAATAACGGCAATAAATGCTTCATTAATTGTGGCCAATAATGTCGGTTGGATTTGTAAACTTTGCCTTTCGACGGATGTTCGTGTTTCGCGTTGCTCTCGTTATGTCGGTATGCGCATATATTTTCAACCATTTGTATGCATGAAGCGCGCCTGTGCTGCTGCCGTTGCTGCTATTGTTGCTGTTGTTGTTATTGTTGTTATTGCTGTTGTTGGTATGGCATTACATTGTTAAGCTGACTGTTGCAATTTGAATTGATTGAGTTGCAATTACAAGCGCAAGCCGCCACTGCTGTTGCCACCGCTTCAGCTTTAGCTTCTGCTGCCGTCTCCGTTACTATTTACCAGCCAATCGACGATTGTTGTAGTTGTTGTTGTGCGAGTGTGCAATGATGGCGATAGTGGCTATTGCCGCTCACATAATTGGTTAATTGCATGTGGCATTGCAATATAGAATACTAGAGTTTGCCGAAGTGAGTTGGATTTAAGTGACCAAGTAGAATTTGTTGTATTACAAAACACGCACACGCACACACGTACATTCGCAGATATAGTAGTTAGTGTATCGGCCATTCAGTAAGTCATTCGGTTAGTTTGTTGGTTGATTAGCAGATCGTTCGAGCGAATGAAGCGCATAGCCGCGATCATTTTCCAGCTTTCCCTCTCTATCTTTTATCATTAGTACTTCGCTTTTGACTAGCGCTGCGTCGGCAATGCCGTTAGACTTAGTTACAATTTCAATTTCGTGCTGGACAGTGCCTACTGCCTTATATATTCATATAAATTTACATTACATTTTCGTATACATATAGTCGTTCATAGTGCTTATATGTATGTATGTATGTAAATGTGTGTGTAATATTATTATAATGGTATCGGTTTCGGTTGCTATTTGAACGCTCATTAGGTATAAATAATTGCACGCGATTGTGCGCATGCGCAACCTCTGCCGACACACCGAAGCAGCAGCAACGCACATATACATACATACATACATACAAGCATACACATACATACATATGTACATTCATGCGAATGCCGAGCGTTTGTAACAACTGCGTCGCGTTGCCAGCGCTAGTCTAGTGTGTTGGCGCTGCAATCGCGCACAATTATAGAAAAGCCATTGTATTGTCGCTATACTATAATTTGTGAATTATTATTGTGCGCTACTCAAGCTTTTAGCAATTCATACTATGGCGTATTGTATGAGTACCGGCCAAAGGTGGCAGCAGGAGTGACCAGCTTGATACAAAGAAAACCATTCAAACTGCTCGCAAATAAACGGAAAATAACAACTAAACCAATTCTAACTAAATTACAAACAAAAGACTAAACGAAGTATTACAACAAAGAAAATATATATCTTTAAACTTACAAAGTAGTGATGGCGATTCCGTTAACTAGCATACATATGAGAAACACAAGATATCGTAAGAGCTTAGAAAATGTAATTTTTAAATTATTTATTATTTCAAGAATATAATTAAAAAACTCTAAGATGATCTGTTGCCTCTACAAAGTACAGGTAAATGCTTGAACTTTTCAAAACTTCCCCTATGTTCTTTGCCACCCCTCTCCTGCTGATTTCCAAAGGATGATGTAACTAATATTATATTATTATTCTACTGTTTCAATATTCCGAACATACTTTGGAAAGTTATTGTCTTAAGTGTAATTTCACTTAAATATGTTGAAGTGTGTGCCTAAAAAAAGTGTTTCTGCGGAGAGTTCTTTCTCATTACTTTCATATGAAGAAAACCTCAGCTGAAAGTCGCATTTTGGTGAACATTTTCTACGTAAAAATCGCATTTTGAAACCTGACCAATCAGCCAAATCAACGGCAAAATCGAATAACAACGATTTCAACGTAATGCTGTGTGTTCACTGGGTTTGGGAGGTGATCGCTACCGGCAACCACTGATCAAAGTGAATCAAGCGATTGCCGAAAAACACTCGGTTTTTTGACTAGACACGAGGAAATAATTTTCCATCATGACAACCTCATCTTGCAAGACTGGTTAGAAACTATTTGGAAAATCGCGGCTGGGAACTTTTGCCTCACCTGCTTTATAGGACCTTGCCCTTTTTGACAACCATTTGTTTCGGTCGATGCAGAACACCTTCACTAGAAATACGGTTCACATCAGAATGGGTTATTAAAAAGTGGCTTGATTCATTCTTGGCCGCCAAACCGACGCAGTTTTTTGGGATGGAATTTACCAATTGCCAGAAAGATGAAAAAATGTTATATCTTCAGATAGACCATACTTTGAATAAACGTGCTATTAAAAAAATAATAAAAACCGCACGAATATAGTTATAGGCCCAATATTTTATTGCTCGTCAAAATATTTCAGAGTTAGAAAAAAGTAGTAAGTTGCCAGTGTACTTTTATTTTATTAAAATTGTGAAGTGGAAAATTGAACTGATAAATTAGAAAACTACAGCCCAGAGCATACTAGGTATTTTTGAAATAGATGAGAATAAAGCTTTAAAAATCGATTTGAGGAAACATTTTGTGTTAACACATATAGATTCTGGTGGTTTACTTATGTAATAGAAAGCTTGTTCTAAGTTGGTTTTTTTTTTTCGAACATATGGAACATCGTTTTTAAAATGTTAAAGTATTTTAGTATACCAATCCCGAAATTGTACTACTTATATCGGCAGTTTTAAGTTCATATGTATATGTGAGTGTGCGTGCTTACGTGTTATTCTCGGCGACTTTTCACTTACTTGTAAAGTGAAGGCTTTAGGTTCAATCGCAGTATACCGATTCGTTACATTTGGATGCCGCCTGAGCAACGGGGGGTCCGTTTGATATGTTAAAAGCGTTTGATTAAGTTTATCAAATAAACATATACAAATAAGATTATCAACTCGCTGGTTTCGGTTTTTAAGTAATTTCTTCCCAACAATTATTGCTGAATTTTTTCTGAATATTTTGAAGATTTTCCATACGCAAACTGATTGATAGGTTTGTGAAACAGGTATACAAATTCCACTAGTACGTGTATTACTTACTTGTAGAAATATTATTGATAGCAAAACTTGTTTGTAAATAACGAAAAACGGTAAGTGTATGTATATATTTAAGTTGATTTTAGTTTTGAGGTGAAAGGGTTTTATTTATTTATGTGTAGTAATTAGTATGTAAACGCAATTCTTGGTTTGTTTATGTGCATACTCTTTACTTGTTTTTGTTGGATGCTGTGCGGGTGCTATTAAAGTAGACAAATGTGTTATTATGTCACAACAAAAGGGTTGCCAAGATGCACATAAATTATGTGCAGTTTTTTTTAGTTAAACGGAACATTCTATATTAAATGTAATTTAGAATTAATTTTTTATTGAAACTTCTGAAAGTTGTTAAGGAACTTTAACTAAGCAAATCTAAAATCAATCAAAAATTACCGTGAATTGCTATTAAAAATTTATGTTTATTATGTTTTTTATCTTGTTCGGGGTTAAGAATTAAAATTCTACTTGAATACTTCAATAATTAGGATCGGAACTGCCCACTCCCTATATAACGGTACTGTTAAAAACTACTAAAATATAATAAAGCTTTGGCTTTCCAGTATACAAATCAAGAACCAACCGATGTATCCAGATAAAATTTTGCACAAATAGTGCCCTCAATGTATTTCATCTTACGTCGAAAAATTGTCGTAATCCGTCTGTAACTTTTCAAGAACCCAGTTTTGCTGAAAATATCAGCCAATCTGTGTGATATATTATCGAAATTTCGGAATAATGTTTCTTTGATAATAATATGAAATAGTAGTAAAATATAGTAATAAAGCTAAGTAAGTCTATGACCGTGGAAATAAGTTAGTATGATACTGAATTTGATTGTAATCCGTTCAAGATTTCGTCAAACAATGAAGTTGAACCTTTTTGTTACATATTTTAATATTGCCAACACCTGAGGCACTTAGCCGGCTTTGGAAGTTGCAAGAGTAGGAAATGTTCAGTTACACCTGAACTGAGTTCTTCCTTACTTGTTTTTCATTAAAAAAGCTTC